TATAAATTTATTTTAAAAGAAGTTCATTGTGAGAAAAATTAAAAAGGGGTTACTTTTAATATAAACTTCCAACTTTAATAAAGTAATGATAATTTCATAATTTTATGCTCAATTGATTTTATTGACGAATTTGTGAAAAGCTTGTATAGTTTCCCCAAAAAAGCCAATAATACTGTCGTGTAGATGCTATTAAAAGTTTATAACTCCATTATTTTTGCTAAGAAAATACTTTTTAAATATCGTTTGAATTGGCCTTTAATTTAGATACTGAATGAAAAAGAGCTTTTGATGAATACAAATTTATCTTCTACATTAATTTTAAAATTATATAATCAAGTCAATGTTTACATTTTTATAATTCTACATGAAACTCCCTTTATGTTTTTGAAGTTGAAAAAATATTCAAAAAATCTTAAAAGAATAGGCCAATTTTTTAATTTTGGATATCCACGAAAAGGGCGGAACAAGAGGTTTGAAGCCAGAGGAAGTCCATCAGAGGCCGATTTCCGTGCGCCAGCTTTTAGGGCCGGAATAAATTGGAGCTCGTTGGTGGCCGGGCCGGGCAGCACACAGGCGACTCTTTTTGCATCACAATGCAACTCCCAGCGGGGCGGTTGCTGCTTTTCCACTCTCCGGTCCGACTGATCAATTATTCACCTGGCCACACTGCTGCTAGTTCTTTAATGAGGCAAATACAGAGACAGACCCGCCCTCTCTCTGGAATGGCATTTTAATTTCGCCCACCGAGAGCGAAAGAGCAGAGCCGGCCATGATTAATTCATCTTTCTCTCTTGCAGCCCCAAATCTAGGCGGCGCAATTTAATTTCCACCTCGCCGTTATGCTAATGAATTAAGCTGCACTCACACACACGCTCAAGTTCAAGGATCTCGTTTGTCAGAGTTATGCAACCCTTCCTGCCTAATTAAGCACCCTGCGTTCGCGGCAGTCTGCTCAAAAGAGCCTTTCTCATTTTAATTATATCTGAATTTCGTATAAATACAATTGTGTTTCTTATTCACCCAGCCTCTACGTCTAAAAATTGTTCTTTTTTTTTCAGAATTGAAGTTAAATTTTAATAAAAGGAACCAAGAAAATCTTAAAAAAAGACCGAACAAATATTTGATCAAATTTAAATTCTATGGAAATTTTTTTTATTTTCATTAAATTACATTAATTTCAGTTTTTTTCTTTCAATTTTTGATGAAAATTTGCCGGAAAAACCCTTTTAATTGAAAATTGCTAATTGAACTATTTTTAATTATTTTATTTTAACGCAATGTACTCTCAACTTTTGGCAAAAAATAATAATTACTTATTAAAAATAATTAATTCTATGAATTTGATATTTTCTTTCGAAGTTCTTTATTTATCGTTTTTCTGCTTTTTTTTAGAATGCTATTCCTATACTATGTACATTAAATTTCTCTGAAGTATAAAACTGTTCTGTTTTAGTTTTCAATTTAATAATTAAAAAATCTTGTCTTTTCCTAACCAATAGTGAATCATTTGAGTGTAATTGTCTGTCTTTCGACTTGTCGGTCTGTCGATTTATCACCCGCGTCTCACAGCTCGAGAACACATTCAAAGGCTCCACTTTTTGCACGTCAGTCTAGTGTAAAAAAGTAAACGGCCTCGGTGCGCGCGCGGCAGCTTCGTCTGCGCGTTCACGGTGGTGCGGCCATTTACTTTGACATTTAAACCGGCCGCACACACAGTTATCTGGCCACTCCGAGTTAGAAACACAACTGCCAAGTTAATCGCCTCTTAAGGGTTATGTTCAGCTTTTGTTTCGGTCGAGAGACCGTCTTGAGCGTGGGCCTGGCCAGATCTGGATCAGATCATTTCATATTTTACTTTTTCTCACCAAGATTGGAAAAGGTGAAAACTTATAAATTTGACTGCGTTTTTAAACTATGACATCCTAGAATCGATTCTTGAGGTCAAAAGTGACCTGTGATATTTAAATATTACAAAAAAATTTCTAAATTATTAACAACCGTTTCTACGTTGTGTATAAAAATAAGGTATAATTTATTCCAATTAACCTCCAGACTGTTTTTATGACGCAGGTAATGAGCACTTCAAACTGATAACGGAAGGTAAAGCACGAAATTTCCTTAAAAAAATTTAAAATGCATTCGTGGTGCGCGAATTTTAGTTAAATTTTGCTGGCTCGTGTAGAAATGAGGGTGCGCTAAGTACTGGAAAAAAGATGCACAATCGCAACGTGGATAATTTGCTGACGTAAGTAAGGTGAAAAATGAGCAGGAATTTACATAATTTTGTTCTCTTATCTGCCTTGACTGACAGAGATTGTGGGAAATTTAGTAGCTTCTTATCTTATTTCTGGCTGCTGCACATGTAGAAATTTATCAAATTTTAATAAATAATATAATTATGTACACTGCGTCCTTGGAGCCTCCACTGACAATGAGGGAAATAATTAGATTCATTTCGTTTTGCTGCACGTGCACAAATTTAGTTGACGTCTGAACCATTGAATTCAAAAGCTCAAACTAAAGTGGATAGTGATAGAGGTAAAATTATAAAAGCATTTCTCTAATAAAAACTACAATTGTTTTCCTATTACGGCTATTAAATTATTGTGCATTATGTCATTTTTTTCAAAGCTGATGAGAAATTTGGCTTTTTATCAGGCAAGGGAGCTTTTGAGCTTGGCTAATTGTATCATTATATCAATAAATATCATTTTCTATAAATTTTTCTACAGAACTCTGGGGTCAATTTTGAAGTCACTTGAAAGGCTTGGAATAAAGTCAAATCAGGCATTGTTTGATTGCTGCCGATTGTTGCGCTCTGGAGGCAAATCTGGTTCTTCACGAAAACTCTTTCTCTCTTCGCATTTTTTATGCAGACTCTGCAGTTCCGAGCAAAATTGAATGGGCCATTTTTCAGCAGTGGATGATCCTTAAATTTATAAAATAAGAAATTCTGCATTAAATTTTAATTCCAACGTGTTGTATTTTTCACTTATTTGAGAGAGCCGTTTTTAAGAAGGTCCCGTCTCTCCTATTGTTGTACGGGGCCTGTTTTATGTTGGCAAACGGCGAATTGTGTTGGTTGCGCGCATTAACTCGCCTCCACTCGCCCTAATGCTATTTTAGGGCTGCTGCTTTTCTGCTTTTTATGGAGCTCTATATATATATTTTTTTTGTCTTGCTCGCTCTCTCGCGCTGCCAGATTTATAACTCTCGCCTTTTGCCAGCAAAAGTTGGCGGATTAGAACTCGGGGGATCGTGCTCGGAAAGCAGAAATAACAATAACCAAACTCCCCGAGGGGAATTATGATATTACAGTCCGGTTTAATTTCTACAACTGCTTGTATCTCTCTCTTTTATTCCTCCTAAAAGAAAATAGAGCGAATAAAAAGTACATTTTTGAAACATTTTTTCAAATCAGGGAGGAAAATAATGAAAAAATAAGTGAGGGATATAAATGAAACTCCGCGCTGGTCAGAAGCAAATTGTCCTGGGAATAAAACGGAGTGCTTTTTCAGCTCCGTCAGCGATAAATTCCAATAAAACTGCAATTAAAAAAAAAAAAAAAATCAAATCACTTATTATTTTTATATTCTGATTGTGCGCGGAAAAAATACTTTATACACACACCGACGGGTGATTTGTGAAGGAGAATGGCAGCAGTTTCGTCCGTGCTTGGTACACAAGCCATCAAATTATGTGCAATTTATACCAAACATCAAAAAGCGGTTGTTTGTTCTATGAGGATTGAGACTCATTTCTTGCATGCCCGCTTTCCTCGTGCAGCACACAATGAAGAAAAGTTGTTCTAACTTTCAATGAAGTAGATGCAAGCTGGCGTCCGTTCATACATCTAAAGCTTTGATTAAAAATCCAGTAAAAATTTCCAATGAATTTAATGTATTTTATTTTTTCTGAAATTTGCTCATATTGAAATTTACAGAAAAAAACTACATTTTACTGCTTTATTAAATATAAAAATAAATAATTAATTGTAGATTGCACTATATTAAAAAAAGTTGTTTAAATAAATTACATCAAGTCATTATTTATTTTCCTCTTCAAATTAGAAAATAAAGAAATGAAAATAATTATTTAATTTGCAGAAGTTTTTATTTTCAACTTTTGAGAAATCAATTCCTACTTGATAATTTTTAAATCCAAGTCTGGGGTCTGGATTTAATTTAAAACTTTATTTTGTGTAGTTGAGCTCCACTTTAAATCGTGCCCTCACTACTTTTGATATTATAAAGTCGCCGCTTAATCGCGCCTAAACGACTCGGTCAATTTTCCCTTCAGGACGATTCAGCCGCGGCGCGTTCACGGTGTAATTTATTATGATTATTGAAACACAATACAAACCCTTGGCCGAAACGACGCCACGAGAGAGAGAGAAAGACAATCATCGCTATTATGTACCGAAATTGCTCTCAAAATGGTCTTGGGCCGAGCAGGAAAAGCGACTCTATCATTACGAGAGACTCATTTTTCGACTTGTGTGTATGGAAAAAAAAGTTGCTTTTGGAGAGAAGGAGTTGAGATTGGTGCGCAATCGAGAGGGTCCATTAAACGGCGCGGCCAATCGAGGCCCCGCTCGGGCGGAGTTTTCATTACGCTTTGGTCTCGGCGTGCAAGATAAATTGCGCTTTATTGTATTGCAGAGAGAGAATATTATATTGGTACGTGAGTAAATGAGCCGAGATGAAAAGCAACGTGGCCAGCTTTTAATATGTTGTGCGGCTTGACAACAGGTTTTCCTACGTATAGCCGCAGAGATCGAGAGCCAATGATTCATTTTGTGTTGTGCTTTATTCTCGAGTGTGTGGTTGATCGTCAATAGAAGTTCAAATTGTAGATTTATAAAATTTGATTTTAAATAGTGTTTTAATTTAATTTTCTTATAACTTGGAATTTTCAGTAATTTTAAATCACTCAATTTGATTTCAGTTTACAAAATTAGTAATTATAAAATTTCAATAAAATCAGCCTAATTATTTATTCTGGATTAAAAATGTATTTATTGAAGAAACGCAACAACCAACAACGTCAAACTAACAAAAACTATGAAATTTCCAGATGCATTGCAAAAACGAATAGTTAAATTATTGTTGAAACTAATTTAACTAATTAACATTCGCTTGGAAGTTCGCAAACATAGTACGTCGATTCAGTGCATGAATGTCTGTACAGTTGTGCGTTGGTAAAACTATTGCGATTATAAGGATTTAAATAATAATAAATACGAACGCAGTCCTCGTTTGCCTGATCATCTTTCTTCCACAATGTGCTGTTTGATTCCAACTGGGTTCCGTCGTGCCACCGGAAGTCCTTTACATCTCCATTTGCAGAGTTTTTTGCGGAAACCCACCAACTATTTATGTCCCCTAAAAGTGGATTAATTATGAAAAATGCCATTTGATAATTTCAAGGTTGCACATTAGATTCAGATAATGTTTATTAATGTATCACCAGGCAGCACTTTTACTTACGGTCAACCTCTCTGCCCTGTCGAACCACCCGCATAAGGTCATATTCATCCCTGATCGTGGCCAACTGCAGTCCCTGCTTAACGCAAGTCTCGTTTGCAGAACTCCAGTTTTTCTATATAAAAATAAATTTATAAATAAAACAGTCTTTTTTTATGTTGCCAATCGCCGCTCACGCTGGCTAGCTGGAAGGAGTACGATTTCCCATTTGCCAAAAGCGTCAAGCCTGCTCCTGCTCCTGCAAAATATGGTCATGAAATTTGAATAATTTATATTGGATTAAGTAAATTCATTTTGGTCCAGAATCATAAATTATTAATAGCAAAACTTACTAGCTTTTACGCATCTTAAAGTTGTTTCGATGTCCTCCAGCTGGAATATTTATTTCAGAATTAGTAAATTTTAATCCTTTGACGCTTTCAACTATTTGAAACTTAGAGCTGTCAAAAAGTATAGACAGATACGAAACAGATCAACTCACGTGCTTATGGTTTTCAGCCAGTGATTCTAAAGTCTGCAAAATAATAATTTTGAATCAAAGTTTAATTATACGTGGATCATAATTGCAAGATTTTCAATTAAGATTATATAAGTAACTTATATGTCTTATTGTCACTCTTGTGAGTAAAATTAATTAAAATTCCCATATTTGTTAAGAACAAGATTACATCATCAGTAACGTATCTCCATATCAAAATGAGGTTGAAAAATGTATTAAAAGGTCTTAAAGCAGATTAAAAAATATTGGACCTGATTGTGGCGTTGGTTGGCAACTTCAACCTGGTCATGGACGAGTTTCGTCAGTTGTTTCAGCTTTTGATTCATTTCGTTGAAAATTTTCAATTGCTCTGATTCTTGGGCCTGCAACCAAATTGGATTTTTATTGGAATTCATGAAAAAATACAATTTTCAATCATAGCAAGTAAATTTTTTAATAACTTTTTATCATCTCTGAAGACAAAAGCATCTCATAAATATATTTTTAGTAATATAAACTCTTAAAATTTACCTTGGTAGCAGATTCGCTGGCCAAGGCGGCGGCGACAAGCAAAACAAGCAGAAACACAAAACGAGCCATGGTCCGTCTGTCTACTTGTGTGTCGCTATCATTTTCGCCAAAGCCTTTTATCCCGGGGCCTTTATCACTGCCCTTTGCCTCCGCGAAAAAAAACTAATTAACAAACAACCTTCATTCTCTGCTATCAATTATACGCAGTAAAATATATTATATATAAAAAATAATAAAGATTGATGAAATTAAATTTGCTTCATAATTTAATTTTATAATTCCATATTTTCAAAGTGTTTGAGGTAGAAAAATTTTGAATTTACATTTGCTAAAAATGTAGGAAATATTTATAAAAACATTTTTTTTTCTCTTTTTTCTGAACGAGTTTTTTATTTGTTATCAATAACAGATCAGTCACAACAAATATCTGCTGACCACAGAGATGACCCCTAGCTGCCTGTCCAGTTTATCAAAACGTGCACATTTTTGCATAGAAAATATAATTTTGTCAAGGAACAAGTCAAAAATTCCATTTTTTATTATGGGAAACCGCAGAACAAAACAAATTTAAAAAAATTACTTTAGATTTTTGTTGAAACTAACTTAGGGCAATTAACATTCGCTTGGAAGCTCGCAAATGTAGTACGATGTTTCGGTGCATGGATGTCTGAACAGTTTTCCGCTGGTATAACTCTTGGCGTCATAAGAACTAAAATAATAATGAATACGAACGCAGTCCTCGTTCTCGTGATCGCCGTTGCCCCACAACGTGCTGTTTGATTCCAACTGGGTTCCGTCTTGCCAGCGGAAGTCCTGTTCACTTCCAGTTGCAGCGTTTTTCGCCGAAACCCACCAATTTTCAGTGTACCCTAAAAGCAGATTAAGTGGTGAAAAATGCCATTTTTTAATTTAAAAATCTACTTACGGTCGACCTTGTTAGCCTCTTCCAACACCAATAAAAGTTCTTCACGATCCCTGATTGTGGCCAAATGCAGTCCCTGCTTAACGCAAGTCTCATTTGCAGAACTCCAGCTTTTCTACAACATACACAAAAATTAAACCAGTCCTCGAATTTCGATGTCAACTCACTCCGGCTTGGTGGAAGGAGTACGACTTCCCATTTGACAACAGCGTCAAGCCTCCCACTCCTGAAAATTGGTGATGAAATTTGATAAGTATTAGAAAAAAAATCATTTTGGTCTAGAAGCATAAATTTTAGCTACACTTACTAGCTCCTACGCATCTTAAAGCTTTTTGGATGTCCTCCAACTGGAATTCACAAATAATCAGAATAAGTACTACTTAAATTACTAAAATTATGGAACTGTTCTATTCAAATCAGATCGACTTCTTCAAATAAATAATGAGTAAATCTTTTTTAAGCCAATTTTAATTTACTGGATTCATAATTACAAGATTTTTATCATTTCTATTTCGACCAAATTACGACTATGGAACAGTATGAAAGAGACTGATAGTTCTCATTTTTTGCTGGTGAGTATTAAATTCACCAAAATTTACCATTCGTAGAGGTAAAAGATTACATCATCTGTGGTGTAGCTATAAATAAATTTAATAGAAACAAAATATTAATCGTTCTTCTTCTAATTATTGAAATATTTATTTTAAATATCTTTTTATGCAGACCTGCTTTTGACGTTGGTTGGAAACTTCAACCTGATCGTGGACCAGTTTCGTCAGTTGGTTCAGCTTTTGGTTCATCTCATTGAAAATTTTCAATTGCTCTGATTCTTGGGCCTGCAACCAAAATTGGATTTAAATTTTAATTATTATCAAATAGTCTGGTAACTCTACACACTTTACTTTCAAAAATGTTTATAAATTCTCTATATTACAATATCTATATTGATAATAGAATTTGAAAAAATATACTTTTATAATATTTAGACGAAAAATTGATTTAAACAAATAAAGGAATAGAAACCTCGGTTGTAGAAATGCTGGCCAATGCGATGAGCCCAGCGAGCAGCAACACAAAACGAGCCATGGTCGCGTCTGTCAGCACTTGAGTGTCGCTCTAGATTCGCCAAAGCCTTTTATCCCCGGGCCTTTTTATCACTGCCCTTTGCCACCGCGAAAAAGCTGAAAACAAGATCAATCTCTAGTCTCATCTGCTCTTCATTATGCAAAAAATATAAATGAAATCTGGAAATTGATAAAATATAAAATTAATAGAATTGATCTCTTATCATATCATTCAACGGCTCAAAATTTTAAATTTCTCAGAAAAGAAGGAATTTCCATTTTCCAAAAGTGGAAAATCTATAAAAAAAAAATATATTTTACTCTTTTTCTGCGTACGTGTTCTGCATTTGTTTCTCAATGACGGTTCAGTCAAGAGTCAAAACAAATGTCTGATGACCACAGAGATGAACCCTGCCTGTCAAAATTCAAAGAGCAATTGGGGTCCACCAAAAGATAACGTCGCGTGATAATAAATGTGTGATTTTTTTTATTTTTGCTTTAAAATTAGTTATTTATAGATGCCTTTTTCTTTTGATATTATTTTCTATTTTAAATTGACTATTTCTTAACCTAAATAACACATGAAAGAGCACGCCTTGAATATTTTATTGATTTACTTTTCAAATACCAATAAAAAACCTTCTCGTTAAGTTGAAATGAGGCAGCTCCAGATTGTTCGATTAAAGCAAGGAAGTTTTTTCATTAGTGGCGCTATGGCCTAAATCGTTATTTTAAATTTGGATTTAATTTTCATCCCAAATGGAGTGGCAAAAATAATTTTTATTTTTATTTGTTCTCAATTTTGTGATGGTGATACCTTCCAGGAAGGATTATAATTTTAATTAGTAAATTTATTCTTGATTATTAAAAAATAAAATCGATTGCTTTGAAAAATATTAAAAAAGCAGTGAAATTTTTCACTTGTCCATCATGTTTTTTTAACTCTAGTCTACATAGTCTTTTGTTGCCCAGAATGATTGCAGCTCTCGTGGTCCAGCGGAGCATGAATCAATAATCACGAAATCGCTCTCCGACCGGTCGTAAAACAAAATAAATGCCATTTGAAAAGTGACGTCACGCGACCATTATTGTTATTTGTGTGGAACGGCAATCCGTGGGCTGGTGCGAGAGGGATAAATTTAAAATGGAGAGCTTTCCAATTACCCTGTGTGTATATTTATTTGCCCTGTGTGCAGCGCAAATTGCCCTCCGCGTGTGTGTGGCTGCGGAGAAAAGAATGACTGTTTACCCAATCGCACGCCATCGCTGCAATCAAATAAATTTATTTAAAACAACGTGCCCCGCGCGCTGAAACAGCAATTTATAAAATGATTGCTACGTTTGGATCGTGAGGCGGACTAATGATGTCACGAACCGCAGTGGAATATAAATCGAGCCAGAATAGAAATAGCCGCGTTTTCCATACAATAGTTGTTTGCAAAATGTAAAAAAAAATAAGGAAATAGAAATTGAAAAAAATGATATTTTATATTTTAATATTCGTGTAAAGTGCTTTAACTTGCCATTCTGATATTGTTTTAAATATAAAATTTGATTTTATTGAAAATATTTAAAAATTGCGGAAATTCGCTTCAAAAATTAAATAATTAACTAAAAAAAATTAAAGACTAAATCTAATTGTAAGCATAAGTAACTAGGATTTTCTTCATAGTGAAATAAAATTCATGTTTTGCGTTTTTTTATTCCAATTAACGTTTTATAACAATTGTGGTTTTTTAATTTTTACATGGAACCATCCGTATCTACTTTATACTTATATTGAATTGACTCAATTTTAAAATTCGTACACAATTTTTTTAAATTTATATCTTGTTCATTTAAAACGTTTTTTAAGATTGAACTTTTAATGAAAAGCCCAGGAATGAGGTTAATTTTTGTTATCTCATTTCTTCCGACTGGCTAATTACACACACGCCTATTTAATGTGCGATTCAAGCCAGTATAATTATTTGCCTTGCGTCGCTTGTGGAGTTAAGATTGCTTTGAAATCAGCATTATGCAGCCCGCGCTGCTCCGCAACCGCGCCGGTTGCATAAGCTCGCTTAATTTCAGCCTCTCGTCCGTATTTTATTCTTAATTTTCCGCCTCCCTCGACTACACCGACCGGCTCGCGCAATTAATTACTAATTCATTGGCTGAATAATAGATGGCCGAGATAATTAACTTTTAGTCGGCGAATCTCTTTTAAAAAGATTGCCTTCCAGAGGGTGTATTTATTCAAGGATAAAAGCGGGCGAGTGTGCGCGCCGGGCAAAGAAAAGCCTCCTCCCTTTGCTTTTATTCTTCTCCGGACCAATCGTGAGTTGCATAATTCAAGTGAACAAGCAGAGGAAAGAGTATATTGCCCTGCCGCTTTTTACCCCGCATGAATTTTTAATAAGCAGCCATCGTAGCGCCGTCGGACCTACCAACAACAACGGCCTTTTGTTTCGCCTGAAAGCTCTGCTCGCCTTTTTAAGCAGATGGTTTTTTTTACAAATTCTACTCTCATTTTGAATTGAAAATTACGGTGATAAAAACCTATGTGATCTTCCTCATTTTGCATAATTTATTCCAAAAATCAACATGAAAAAATGTATTGGAAAAATTTTATTTAAAAACTTCTCTTTTATGAGCTAAGCAAATGTCAAAAATTTTTCCAAGGTACTCTTAAGGTTGCGAAAGCAATTTTAAGGTTAATGTAGATTCATGTATGATAAAAATGAATGCATAATTGTATTCAATTAAAATGCAAGAGATGAAGCAAATTTTATTTTTTAAATTTATTATGAAAAGAATGTTGAAAAGAGAGTTGCCTTCCACACAAAAATATATTTTTATAATTCTGGCATAAAATTTTTAAGAGTTTCATTAGCAGAAATATGATTTTCCCCCTTATACTTTAAAGTGCCACCGCTCTAACAAATTTCCCATAACGTTACACTAGAGCTTTCACAGCTCTTATATTTTTTGGTTGTATATTTAGTGCATATTTAAATGCAATAACTTGGAAAAAAATGATTTTTTTAAGAAAGAAATACCATTCGGAAATAAATTTCGATTTTTAGAATTTAGATAAAAAAAAAAAGAAAAATACTTTAAATAATTTGAATTGGGAAAATAAATGATTCACTAAAGACTTCTTCGTTCAAAAATGTCAATCTGGGATTTTTAATTAAAACTTGAGCACTTGAGTATGGAAAATTGTCTTTTTTTACCAGCAATTAAGTAAAATATAAAAGAAGCAGGTCATAAAAAGTTTTCATTACAAAAAATAATACTTAAAATTGTGTGTTAACGGAAGTCTTACTTTTGTGTATAATGAACAATGGAAAGGTGTGGCCGCAGCGCCAGCCAAAAATGCGTAGTGCAAAATCACTAGTATTGCCGGAGCACGCCTTTTGTCTTACAAGTTGGCATAAATCAAGGTGGCTTAATTAGTGAGTAGGTTTTTGTCCTGCCTTTACATTTTTTTTTTTTAAATTTACTCAGCATTCGGTCCAAATAAAGAAGTTATTTATTACGCATTGGTTCATATATTCGATATATTCAATTTGCTCAGTAGTGTATTAAGAAAGTCTTTGCATTCCGGTCTGTATTGGAAACTAATTATTATAAATCAATCGCTAAAGCTATGCAGCACGCCCAACAAGAAAGGATTGTATTAAGCTTATTTCTATTTCACTTTTTACTAATTTTGTATAATTTGTTTTTATGAATAATTCATTATCAGTGATTTGGAACAAAGGGATTATTTTGCCTCTATACCTGAGGTCTACATTTGTACGACATCTGCACGGCTTCGGATGTATTAAAGCTATTAAGGGAACTCGGCGCAAAGCTCGAAGCTCCACCGCTCGGCAAGTCTCGAACGAAAGCAATCAAGTGCTTGGAAAATCGTACGTAGATGGCAGCTGGGGGAGCCTTCAGAAATATAATCGGAATACCTTGCCACTTGAAATAAACAGGATCAATTTACATCTCAGATAATTAAAACCGATGAAAAACTTCTTATAAATTATTTAAAAATATAATACATATGAAATGTTATTTTTTTTTTATAAACTCAAAACACTGCAATTTAAATGGAAGCGTGCGCATTATTTTCGTAGTCAAATCTTTCAAATTATTTTAGCTATTATTAAAGAATATCATTTCACGGTAAATTTATAATTCCGTGATAATTTATCATCTACCAAAAAAAATTTCTATTCATTTTAATATTAATTTCACCTCTTTAGAACTATGTAATTAATTGGCTAACACATTATTTTTTAGTGTTATAGATTCCAGTCCACATAATTTGAATAATTTTTTGCAAACAATAGTAACATTATATTTTCCAAGAACAATTAATTCCGCGTTTTTTTTTACTGGCAGCCGGAGGACTCGTGTTTGCTGTTTAATTATCTCTATATATCATTCACGTACTTTTCCTGCGACGTCAATTTCCAGCGCACAGCAGCTGAACAAAAATGTTTTATGGGAAACTCCATTGGCAAAAGCGTTTTACGAGAATGCTTTACCGCGCTGATTTATTTTCCGTGTTCCGCAGCGAGATGAGATAATAAAAATTAACAATGGCCGCCGCTTGTATCGTGCCCAGGTGAAGCAAGTATAGTTTGATTGGTCGTCAGGCAATTTGGGAAAAAGCATAATGAGCTGCGCAACCTTTTACGCCGGCGGTTTCGCGATCGTTATCACCAACTAATTAAAATTTAAATTGAAAAACTAAATGTCAAATGCTGTTGGTCTGGCTCGGTGAATGCGGATTTTTGTTTTTAGTTTTTAATTTTGCTGCGAGATTTTACTTTGGCTGCGGAGTTACTGATGGGAATCGTTGCAATAAATTTCATTACGTGTTGACAACGTTCGTCAAAACAGACCCCGTTTATGAAAAATGGCCCTTTTGTCGTCGAGCTCCGCTTGCGTTTGATTGTCTGATAAAATGTGAATTTTATGAACTAGCGAGTCTGCGATGAGAGATTTGAGAAATGCTGTAGTTAATTTGTTGATGCAATATAATTTTAATTGCGTAACAACGAGCTGGGAAATTTTTGAATTAAAAAAATTACAAAAACAAAAAATTTAAACGGTGAGAATTTGAGTAAAAA